ATATGTGTTTTTTTTGAAAACAGGTTTTTTAAATAATTTGGCACGCCTTTATTTTATAAACTAACGCGTGGGAAATCCCGATTCCATTTCAAAAACGCAGCCTCGCCGTATTTGGTACATACGCACTACGTCATACCTAATTATGCGAATCTGTAAAAGGGCAAGTTGGCGCTGTGCCCCAAAACGTGCCTAGTTGCATGTTTCACGGGGATTTTATCGGGATTTTCCGCGTTATTTATATATTGCGCGTGCATGATGGAAATGCTCTTAAGGAAGTGTAAATGTCATGGAGTAATTTTACAGATATCCAAACTGATTACAGGAAGTGCCACGCCAGGGACTTCCGGTCTTCATGGAAGCTATATATTTCCTGTATTATAGATAATTATGTCGTACAGTCCAATTTAGTGAGAATTGTATAAATCAGAAATGTGTATAAATGTTTTGTTCTGTGTCGATGAACTTTGGCGAGGACAATATGACAGATTGATCTTGAAAACTTGCTTACAATTACAAAATATATTGTCGTGGGTTGACTTTTCAGTGTTTTTGTATTTATTACAGTGACTGCTATTGTTGCATGCATTATAAGTAAGAATTTTAACCTATTTCTAAGAAAACTGAAAATTATTCAAAGGTGTTTATTAAACATAATTGAAAGGTAAATTACATGTGTCGTGTTTTCTCACTCTAGTACTGTTCCCCCTTTTCTAAGACGGACTCTGTCATTTCAACCCTACCTACATCATGTACATGACTTGCAACAGAAGGTGAAGATTTGATTACTTCTCTTGCAAGTGTCCGTACGTGACCAATCCCCATATTGCACAATAACTTTTGGAAGTGAGCCAAACGGAGAAAAGTAGGGAAATCCCATTAGAGTTGCACAATGCCCTTGCCTACCTGTGTAAACCATGCCAAATAGAGTAAAGGGGGAATTCCGGTACCGTTGTCTAATATTATGGCGTGACTGCAACATTTCACCAAAATTGCATCATCGACACTATCCTGTGCGCAACCAATGGTCGATTTACACGAGGCAACGCGACGACTATTATAGGATTTGTCGACTTTTCTGTAGCGACAGGCGATGATTATATGATATCAACGATTTTCACATTTTTAATGCAATTTACTCGCTTGCATATTACGTATTACGACATACTTTTGGCAGGGGTGTAAGTTAAACCAAACCTTATCACGGAACTACGACTATTCAGTTTATGAAGTATTTTAATAACTGTACTGTACACCAATACAGTGAACCACAGTCCCTCTATCATAGAGGGACTGTGAGTGAACCTACCGTTTCGTTAGGGCACAAAGCGGAACTGAAGCTTTGATGGTGTGAATGCAATACCTAGTATCAGCTGATCGAAAGTAAAGTTGGCAGGGGAAACCCCCGAGTACGAGACGAGTTATACAAATGTCATGATACAGTACACGTGTTTTTATCACAATAACGTATACGTGATGTAATCGTTCTTTCAACATCCACACTTCACGATGAGTACAATGGCTCGAGGTTTTATTCATTGTTTTCACTTGCCTAATAATAAACACACATAAATGAGCTGTTTTTATATTTTAGCTTGAACCATGGATGTACTAAGAACATCTTAGTACATCCATGCTTGAACTAAGCTAATAGATATTATTATTGATAAACCCAACGTGACCCAAGTCCATATCATTTTACCAAAATCAGTTCGGTATTACCATAGATGTCCCTCTATCCCGACGGTCTACATTACTAAGTCGACAACCAAAATAACAACTGCAAGCCGAAGTACAGTTTTGTTTTCTCTATTTGAAACCATTTCTCTTCCTTTGGGGATTGAACGATTGAACTGGTTGGTAGAAACATGCACCCATCTACGCTTGTAAAATCTACCGTATACCCTAATTACCGTGGCAACTAAATACTAGTACCCACCAGTGTAGTGTAACACACAACGTATACCCGTAATACCCAAAACACGCAATCGTAAATACACCGACTACTTCTACTTCGTCACTTTCCCAATGTGTAAAATGCACCTGCTTACTTTTAGGTCGCACGAAACTCTCCCATCATATGACTGCTGGCACAAGTCCAAGTTTCGCCCACAGACCATCACAAGTGATTGACAGTGGCCGAACTTATGATGAACTCCATGTAGTTTGTACAGTAACGGAAATATTCATATGGGCTGGGCTAGTTTCTTTGTCATTTGTATGATTGTTTTTCAACTTCTACGTCATCAGATAATCTACGATAGTTGTCAGGGTATCCAGACATCTTGACAATTTACGACCAATCAATCGTACGTGCCTTTGACGTAGACTTGAGATATCTGATTCTGTCAGACCCGACAAGAAGCGATAAAATGTTTACTTTTATATTATCAGAAGTTTAATCTAATATGATTTGAAACCAGATGTAAAATATAAATTTCGAAAGACGTCTTCAGGAGATGGAAATAGACGATGTGAATGTTAAGGTCAAAGTGATAAAATAAAATGTTTTGTGTTAAAAGTGAAAGTAAAGTTGGTGGGCATCATTATTGGTTATCACCGAAACTTTAAAATGCTCATGGGCGCACTGACATGGACGCAAGTATACCGTAGTACCGTACTTAACAATTATATTAGAACCCAACTCGAACACATGCGACCATGGTAACGATTAGTAAATAATGTGCATCCAACCCCATCCCCTTACTTTGCACGGGTAGTCATTTTGACCATATGAGGGGTTTGTAAGGAGCATAAAATACCATAGTTTCCAGCCTCACTTAACAGGGAGCCTCATAGCTTGAAGTGACTTGACACCGTACCGGGTATATGATTGAGTATGTGTGTGTGCTAGGAGGAGAGGGGGGGGGGGTCACCGCCTATTAAAAGGCTCGTGAATGTACTATATTAGATAGTCAATCAGATGACTCCCAGGAAATCGTCAGTGAGCTTTCCCTTTGCGAGAAAAATAACACAGTTTTGGCAATTAGAAAAGTATATTTACTAGTTTTCGTTTCGAAGGGTCATTAAAGATAGATAAAACGGTAAAAAACAAGTTAGGGAGTACTTCCTTTTGATTCAACGAAAGTAATATCTGTTTCCAATGATGGTGAGTGGTTAATCTGATCATGCTACACTACAAGTATTATATCACAATTATATGTTGTAATTCAGCGCCCACCGAAAATATTCCGAGGTCGCAGCACGGAGTTTCAAATGTTGACCAAGTGTACCGTGGACAGGTGAACGATAACTGCGGGTAGTTCGAGGTCAATGCCATTCTGATTATCATCAAACACCTGTTGAGCGTCACCAAGAAACGTTATCTTTGGCTTTGTGGGCCAAGGCTCACTGACGGCCTGCACCTCCGATTTGCTAATCT